GCCCGCCCCTTCCGCCCGCAGCCCCGCCTCGGCCCCGGACCCGCGGTAGGTGCTGGGCGAGCGGGGGTCGGGTGATTCCCGCAGCGGGACCCCGTAGCTGTGAATTTCTACCACCCTCCTTCTTTATATTTTTAATTTTCATGACCTCCCGAGCCCTGGAGGCGGGCCCGGCCCGTGTCCCATCTCATGATTTACTGTGCTTTAAGCCGGGTTTTCTCCTCGGGTACGTGCGATTTTAAAGCAATCGATCCAGTAACACACACGTGTTATGGCCAAACCTGCCTGAATGTCCCGCACCTGAACTTCAGCTCTTACAGTTCTCTGGGTTCAGTGAGAATTAAGTGCCTATGATACCACAGAGAGCGAAAGTACTCCAGCGTTTGGGGGAGGCCGCTGTGTAAGCGTGGTGGAGGCTTCATGGTTACTAAACGATTAAATTTGCAGTATATGGGCCATATAAATTGCCTTGCAATTTCCGGTTGCTTTCCTCATACATAAATTGCACAAAGTTTATGAATAAAAATAAAGATGCCATACCCGATTAGGGTTGCAGTGGGATATATGCAGGAGCTGAGCATCTGCACTGACCTTGGGGAAGGTTTGAAAGCATAAATGCTAAAATGTATTGTGGGCAGTTTTCCATTTATTTTCCTGAGTATTGACTGTTAGAAGAAAACAAATACTCTGTGGCATTTCCTGCTTACTTTTGCGTTTGAAATGCAAGATCACATTTGATCATGCAAGAAAGGAGTTTGTTTTCATTTGGTAATGCAAGAAAGGAGAATAGAGTTTTCAGTGTGATCTGTCCTTGTGGATGTAAGCTGAAGAGGGACTTATTTCCTTGCAGCATTTCTAATCTTAAAACTATGTTAGCCAGCTCCAGTGAGAGGGCATTCTCTGACAGAAACCTGTAAAGTTCCTGCCTCAGCTTCACATGAGGATCAAGTGATAGGCTCCCTACAGTCATCCCTTAGAAGTGCTTCTCCCTGCACTGTAAATGACATGACCTTTTCAATCAGATCTAGACTACCAGGTTTGCTGAGAGTGGTCATTTGAGTTTAAGTATTACCATTTTCTAGTTTTTAGTTCTATTATCAAGGAGATTTTCTCCTGAAATTTGGTTTCATCCAAATTTCAGGAGAAGCCCGAAGTTTCAGCCAAGCACTTGGCTCTTTAGCATGTTTTTCTTAAATAATATTGTCAAAAACCTCACCATTTCTGTCTTCAGCAGAATGTAAGAATATGACTAGTTATTACAGTAATACATATTAAATTACTGTATGGTTACATACATCATTGTTTTTATTAAGCACTCAGTGTGTGTTCAGTGCAGCATAAACATTAAACAAGATAATTCTTCCCCCGGTGAATTTACAGTCCCAAAGATCTTCATAGGAAGGAGTAGTAATAATATATCATTAGCACACCACCTTTAAATCAATCTCTTTTTCTTTCCCTGTGGTTAACACTCATTTGCTGTTGATCATGACTGGTGTATCCTGGCACGTCCTGTAGTGCTGTTTGATGATGTTACAGAGCCCCGTTGTCCACTCTACCCCTCTGTGAGAAGTTCTTGTTCCGCACATGTGGAAGGAGAGCATATGTCCCTGCTTCAGCTGCTGCCATACAAAGCCCAGCAGCAGAGACCCACCTTTGATGGTACTCCACGCTAAGACTTTGGTTGTTGTATCAAAGCACAATTTCCTCCTGCCACCTCGGCTTCCTGTGAGGACAGCTGGAAACACTCGTGTCTTTAACAGCTGCAGCAAGATTCTATGAAGCTCGTTGTTAAAGCCCTGAGAGAAGAGACTCTGCAAATGGAAAGGCATCTAGTTTTCACTGATTTCTGTTGGATTTAGGTGCCTAATTCACTTCTATACATACCTTCATAGTAGCATCATTCTAGGCGGGAATTCTATAGCCAATAGAATTTCTTTTAAGAAGAAATTGGAGCTTTCCTGGGCAGAGCATGTAATATGGCTTGGATCAGAAAAAGAACTGATGCTTCCCAAGGGAAGCAGGACTCTTGAACTGAACAAGTTGGCAGGTTTGAAAGTTTTTAAGTTTATCTGCTTATTTAAGGAGTCACAACATAGTTGTAAACCCTGAAACAACTTATGTCCCAGTTTCTGCTCTAGATTGAACATAGTATTTGTCAGAGAAATTATTTCAGAGACAAATTTTTAAAAGTTAAAGCTACTGAAAGCATGCTGCTTTCTGAAAATAGTTTTTTGCTGTGTAAGCTGGAACCACTGCCTGGAAGTTGAAATCTGAAAGAAAAGAAAAAAACAGTGTAGAAAAAAAACATACTGTTTCTTGTTGGTTTTTTGGTTGGTTGGTGGTTTTTTTTCTGTTATTTGGGGTTTTTTTTCACTAGTGAGCTTGACTATCTATCAGAACAAACTCCTAAAGGAAAATTCTGCCTCCTGAAGTTTTTCAAATCAAAATATGATCCTGTTTTGAAAGATGTAGTCAAACTCAGCTTATTGGATTTTAGTATTCAGGTTACTGATTTTTGCACTGTAGAGGAGGTGGTCATAGACTGATCTAATTATTGGCTCCTTCTGAGCTCAGTACCTGTAGACTGTATAGTTGAAGGCAAGGGTGGGATTGTGCTAGAAAAGACTAGACAAGTATGTTGGGTAAATACAGTGTGGGTATTGATTGCTGGGGGAGGAGGAAGTGTGGTGGCTTTAGTGTTGTCTTTATTGTGGTAAATTGATTTACTGGAGGAAAGCGAGAAATTAATTCTTCATATCAATCATCCTGTGTTGCAAGGCCCAAAAATGATTGCATATCTCTTCCTCTGTAAAGATGTTTTGTTTATGTAAAAAAATGTTGCTTTGGTTATTGTGCTCTGCTTCTTCTCATATTTTTTGTTTTGGTTGTTTGGGGTTTTTTTCATGCTAGAGAGATGACAAACCTATTTATGCAGATTTTAATTCCTGATTTTGTGTCACAAACAGGTTAGGATTTGACTATGGCAGTGCCATTTCTGCGGAAGGCATCTGTGCGGTTAAAGAAGCACAAGATCACTGTGGTGGCCGTTTCATGCATGGGACTGCTTGGCACTAACCTTTCCTATCATGTGTTTCCTGAGCAGACGTTCAAACTGTTGCACGAGGGCTGGTCAGAGGGACAGCCAGCTGAGCTTTCCAAGCAGCTCTGTGGTGTGTTTCAGGATGTCCTTCAGGATACTGGTGTGAAGTCCACTGACTCCTACAGAGCCTTTGCAGCTTCTGGCTTCCACCCTGTGAGCGCTGGAATTCCCTGGCTGCCCTCAGGCTCTTTGGTGGGCATCCCACCTAATTTTGATAGCACCGCTGAGGATAAAAAAGGAATAGTCAACCATGTTGTTGTAATAAATGGCAAGGAAGTAGACTGGGAGAGCAGTGAAGGTGTGGCTTTAAAAGAAGCTCTCACATTTTCCCTTGAAGCTCAGAAGTTTGCCATTGCCAGAGAAGTTGTATATTTGCAGTCTGGCAGCCCTTTAGTGAGTGCAGCTGTGGCTCCAACTTGCTTGGCTGGGACGTTTGTCTGTGGGAGAGCTCTAAAGCTGCTTCTGGGGTTATCCACGGGCCCCGTGATCCTCCGCAGCCTCTGTAACCTTGTCACTGCCATGGGAGGACTGCTCTGCTTCTATGTCTCTTCTGACGCTGTCACCTATCACCTGGACTGCAGGGCTGACAGGAAGGCAGCCAGGCTTTCCAAGGACTACGCCAGAGGTGGCCTTGAATTCTATGATAAAATCTTGTCCCGCAACAGGATTTTTCGTGGTCTGATGGGCAAACAGGGGATGAAAATGTATGCCCCGAGTGGTAACCTTTTCCCAAGGCACTGGTTCAGAATAAAGTATACACCATATACTTACCGGAGAACTTTGATTCTTAATATTTTAAGAGAGCTCGAGGCATCAGATGGGAGTGCTTGAATTTTAAACTTGTGAATTATGTATTTTGGAACAGCGCTGTGCTGTTTTTTGGGGGGTTTTTTGTTGTTTTTTTTTTCCTTCTGTATCTTCATTAGAATTTTGGGGTTTATTTTTGCATATAGTTCAGGAAGAGTTATTGCACGTTCCTTGAATAAAGAATTCTCTCCAAAGTGCTCAGTTCTGTGTGCATCTCAAATCACAAGACTGCTGAGAAGGGAAACTTTTCATATGCTGATCTGGAAGTTCTGCTGTGCTGCATTGCCTTCCTGCCATTTCAGTCTGGCAAATTGGAAGGGGCAAGTCCAGCAGAGAGTTTTGGGATCATTATCATTTAAACTGGGGTGTTTGCTGTTTCTCCTATGGAACCACGCAAAGATATTTTAAGAAATGGGCAGTATGTATCATGTGGTTACATAAATATCAAGATACAGAGTGTTTCTGTTCTGTATAAGTTCTTGTGCTGTGTATATTCTTATGGTGCAATCACCATTCTTCAGGAGGAGACATTAGTTATGCTGCAATTCCTACCAGTACAGACAGATTATTACGAGCACCTGCATCATTTGCTTAAATCTAGTTCTCCTCTCTCCAGGACATGGTGACTGCAGCATCACCATGAATGTTTCCCAGGAGTGGTAGTATGTAATAGGACTGTCCTGGGTTGATTGTTTTCTTACAAGTGGAATAAGCATGTTGAGAAAAGGTTTTTCTGCTTGCTTTGGTATAGTTTTTTATTTCATTTAAAAATACCTATAGATGTGTGTCACCTCTTACGTCAGTGAAAGCAAAGTATGAGACATAAGTCTGGCATTTGGTGCAAAAACTGGTAAGGTCTTTGATGAAGAGTTGCCAAAGGAAATTGTTCTCCTCTATCTGACTGGTTTAAGAAGATTTTGTCTGTCAGGCCAGGCTTTCCCAGGATTACTAATCTTCTGGAGAAGTCTTTAGGGCATGGGCAGTAAAATTTCTACTATAGCCTCACTTTGATTTTGAAGGTGATAATTCTCAAACTTTGTGGTCCCCTCTTTTCTTCGTTTCTGTTGCTGTTCCAGTAGCTCTCCCTGGTGACATCAGAGTAGTTCTCCTCACCTCTGTTGTCATTCTTAACAGCAACTTCTGTTATTTTGTGTCTTCTCTGTCAGAGGTGTGCTGAGTGTCCTCTCTGCCCTGGCTTTGTCCTTTTCTCATCTGCTACAATAAGAACTGTCATGCCTGTGTTTGCTCAAAGCATTATTGAGTTCTGTTTTCCTTTTGAATCACATGGTGACATAAAGTTAATATTCTGGCTGCTGAAGCACTGCTGTTGCTTTCCGTTGCTGAAGCCTTGCATGTGAGATGTTTGAGTTTCCGCTGAAGTAATCTGTGCCGTGTGCTTCTGAAACATCACCTATTGCTTGCACTTGTCCTCATCTCATTAAGTCATGAGATGCCTCTCTGGTGCTTTTCTGACTGTAAGCCATAAAGCTATTGTTTCTGTGTTTGTTGTGAAAGAGTTTGATAAAATTTCCTGGTCTGTGGAATAAAAAGAGACCTTACATTTAGGCAGGAGTCTTCAAAAGCTTTGGGCTAATTTCTTTTTTACTGATCTTCTAGGTAAATCCAATATAAGACATTACAGAAGTTTATTGGTAGAGTGACACAGTGACTCAAGACTGGAATATAATTCCTGGTTTATATTGCCTGTGATTTCAGTTCATCCCTCTGTTACTCCTTCAGAGAAGTCTAAACTCCATGAAATATTCTGAGAGAGAATATTGTCTCACTTGGATTATGTGGTTGAAGGAGCTGCTGCTATATAAAAAGTGCAGAGAGGAAATCAAGGCCTTCTTGGAGATTTACAACAAGTAGCAGTTTAAACAAAATAAAATTAAAGTAATCTACTTGTCTTTTGCCACTGCTTACTGTTGCTTTTTGTCAACACTAGCCTGCAGCTAGTGTGGTTATTCTCAGGCTGTAAAGCCCCAGTGATGCTAATGGGTTTTTGCAGTTGTGCGCTTCACTTGACTCTTACAGCTGGATTCTCCAAGAAGCTTCACATATCTATAAATGCAGTGCCCCATTTACCCTTCTTTGAACTTGCTGTGGCACAGTGGTGCTGGTAAGGAGGGGCTGGCTAGCATCAAGACACATGCCCCTTCTTTCCAAAGACAGATTCTTGCCAAGGCTTTACATACCTCCATCTCTATATAGTTGAGCGCAGTGTCATACTGTCAATAAAGGGAAAACAAGAATTGCAATCACAACTGCTAAATAAGATTTACCCTGAACTTTGGGAATGTGCAGGTTGTCCTGGAAAAGACTGTGTGTGTGTGTGTGTGTGTGTGTGTGTTGCGAGGTAATTGTTGCTTGCAAGATCACCCATGCTGTTTGAAAATCAAGAATAGCACAACTCAAACACATGGCCATGACAGTACTCATGAAAAGTCTTTTATTATACTGTGGATGTTTTTCTGTAGAATTATCACTGAAATGAACCAGGAACTCCACATACTGGTGATAAAAATGGTCTCATTTTGAGAGTTCACTAGAAGCAAGCAAGTGGAAATGTTCCGTACTAAGAATATACTGATGTGGAAAAGCAAGTTCATTCAGTGGCCCAGAAAAGGCCAAACAAATCAGTTTGTAAATCATGTCAGTGAACAGCCTCCCCCAGCTCTAACACTGAAAATCTGAGGAATTTGAAGAACTTGTTTTAGTATTGACTAGCTTGTCTTTTGCTGCTCAGACAAGGCAGACTTTGAACAAATTTTTGTGTAGAAAAGCAGCAAAAGATGTTAGGCTAAAAGGAATTGCTAGGAGATGTGGATAAAAGAAGTCTAATTCTAGAAACCATAAAAGCAGAGATGTCAGTGGAATAATGAGTTCTCATAAAAATGGATACTATCTACAGATATGAAGCTCTCTGTCTGATAAAGTGGTTAAAGGATGAAGAAGTATAAGTAGCAAATGACCAAAATGAGTTGCTAGTTTAAATTTAGATAAAATCTAGTTTAAAGAGGAATTTGCTTGACTGTTTTATTTGTGTTATTATCCTAAATACTCTAGGTAACTGAAAAGAAAATGATCCTTGTAATTTCTTTTTTATATAAATGTATTCTTGCTGCTACATAAAGCTTTAGTGGGTGATGCTGCAAGAGATGAGGGTCAGCATTTCTTTGCTCAGAATTCCCACTGAAGTGCAAGAAATGTACTCCAGGGCCTGACTCATGTATTTCTTTATACTAAAAATTGCATTTTCTTGTTGTGGAGATACCTTCAGCTTGTTTAATGGTCAAAAAAATAGAGTCAGAAAAGAGCAAGATTGAGAGCTGGACAGATTTGAAAACAGACAAGCTGTGGAAGTAATCTGGTTACAGCAGTTCCTAAGTCAGCTGCTATGGGTATCTGGCTTCTCTAGCAGTTTACTGGAAGCAGGAGCTTCAGAGACAGGGAAATCTCCACCCAGGTGGCACATAAGTATATGGGCTTGCCCAGAGGGGTTCAGTTGAAGTGTAGTGGTCCTTTAGAAAACAGCCTTTTTTATTACCGAAGAGCACTGCTATCACCCCTTTTCACATCAGAGTGGTTTACAGAATTTGACAGATAAGATGGTGAGAGCTGACTGCAGAGCTGTGGAGCTTCTTGCCCTGCAGGGAAAGCTGATGCTGTTGGAAGAGGTGATGCTGGGAAGAGCCTACTGCTGTCGTTTTGCCCTTGGCTGTAGCAGTTGTGAAACAACCACAGTGACAAAGTGTGGCTTGCATGGGTGGGGTGTGAATTTGAATGTATGAATCAAATCACCATGGCTGAAACACAGGTGGCTTTCACCAGAGGAACAAATGCAAAGGATCCATCAAGGAGTCATTACTGCTATGTGCAGTGTGTGGGCCATGTCCTGCAACTGTTATCTACTCCTGTTCATTAAAAGCTCTGTGCAGCAGGTGTGATTACATCAATATAAAAACTAGTAAGTTGCAGACAATCTGCTATCCATGCATCCAGTCCCTCCTTGATTTCACTCAGCTGGAAGCGTATATTATTGAAAGGCAGAATGCCTTTCAAGCAGAAGAATGCTAATGTAGGAAGACATACTTAAGATCTTGGAATAAGGAGGACACCTTCAGGGAGAGAGAAATTCGGTTGTTGTCAAAATCAGACTTAAGAACAGAAAAACAATGTCATTACTCTCCAGGAATTGTTATGTTAGACAAATTAAACTGAAGGCACTGATGGATGTTTTGCTAGGCATCTTTTTCACTGAGAATATATTGATTTGTTGAGTATATTCAGGCTGTTCAAACTGACAAATCCATAAACTGGAGACAATTACTAAATTTTTGGCCAGAAACCAGTCTGTTTTTCCCATCTGAAAAAGTACAAGTCAAACTCTAAAGCTTCATAGCCAGAAATGAACACTGAAGTATCTCTGTAGTTGGAAGTTTTTACTCTCCTCAGTAAGACCAAGTTTGCCAAAATCTATCCAGGTCTCCAATTTTGAGAGAAAGAGTGCTCTTATAAACTCAGTTCTGTGTCTAAAAATGCACTTTGATCAACACAGCCAACGCAGGTGTATGTTTTTTTGACTCCTACCTTAGTTTTTCCGTGGGAAAAACACACTGCCAGAAGAATTTGTGGTGCTCTCTGCTTGTTTTGAAACAATAATTGTCCCCCAAATCATGTTTATTGGAGAACTTCCTCCTGTTTAGCTTATTTTTTTCTTTCTCCCATGGTAGAATTCCCATCATCTGGAAAGTTGGTCCCTTTTCTAGTCCTGACCTGGTTTCTCAGAATCACTTTCTGCTTTGGTCTGCAGGCGCATTACCTTGTTAATATAGTCAAGGTGTTAACAGCTTCTTTCAATATAAATGAGTAACAGGTGAAGCTGTGTCCTCCTTTGTGTATGGAAAAACTACTTCTGTAGAAGTCTTGCAAAACAGCAAATCTCATTAGGGTGACTAAGAGTATTTAGAAAACATAAGACATTGTGAGCCTGGTCCCAGGTTCACAGTTCCAGCAGTTCTTGCAGAGTGAGCATGAAGAAAGGAAATGCAGTATCCAAACAACTTTCATCCAGTAACTGTTTAGTGGTTTAGTGCAGACCTGCTGACCTCTGGAAGCTTTGTTTCTATCATATGCTAGAATTTTTCCAGTGGGAATGTTGTTGTTTCTTCATTCTCTGTTCATTTC